GCACACCATTGTCCATGGTGTAGATACTGACACGTTTTTGTTTTACGCTGTCCATTGTTAGCTTATATCCTCTTCATTGCTTTAATTTTACTTGCAAGATTTCTTGCAAGTTTGTTAGGTTTTGTGGAAATTTTGTTTGGACATAGCTTTAATTCCGGTAATTCGACAAAAAATTTGCATTATGATTTTCGGAGTTTTTGCGACATGATTTACCAACTAATTTTGCCGAAAAGAGGAAAGCGATACATATAATGTGAGATAAATTATTTAAAATACAGTTGGGCTGCTTGGAAAATAGGTAATCCAGACCATTTTATAGGTGAATACAAATCGACGGGAAGAATTTGTCGATATTTAAGATGTTTAGACTGCTCTAGAATTTGCATTAAATGATGTCGATAAGAATATTTCTGACTTGCTTCTACTCAAACTGCTACGCAAAGATCAGATTCGTGTTTTATAGTAAGAGTTAATTGCATTGATATAAATCAGTTATTTCTCATGTATTTTATTCACCAATTGTGACCAGTTATTTTTTAATTCAGTAAATTTAATTTTGAAGAAGAATGGCTGAAGGAAGTTGCATTCATTTAGCTTTATCACTTCGTTCTTCAGGTACTCCATCGCTTACTGCGATTTTCCAATTGTACTTGATCAGTAAGCTTTTTCGGCATGGCACTTGGAGATAAAGGAAATGTGTGTGTGTGCGTGTGTGTGTGTGTGTGTGTTTTGTTGTGTTTTTAATTTACGCAGGAAAAGTATTCTGTTTTGTCCATACATATGGCTTACCATCTTCTAGTTCGTTATTTATCGAATAATATTCAAAATATACTGATAATATTGGATCTGTGATTTTATCGTTTTCATAATTTCTAATCTTGTTTCAGATGAGTTGCGGTTGCAGAGTCAATTTAATTTGGATAAAGAACATTTGGAGGAAGTTGCATTAGAAGAATTTTTGAGTTATCATGAAAATGAAGATTAACTTTATCACTTCTTTCTTCAGGTACTCCATCGCTTACTGCGATTTTCCAATAGTAGTACTTGGTCAGTAAGCTTTTTCGACATGACACTTGGTAATAAAGGAAATATGTGTGTGTGTTTTTTTCTTTTGTTGTGCTCTTAACTTTTTACTTGTGTGATGGCATTGTTATTCTTGTTGTTCAAGTAATTTCCAGCCAGTTCCATTTATCTAGAAATCTTCGTTTATGCAATATTGGTTTGCGAACTTGCAGATGTAGATTTTTGTTTGTGTTTAATGTATCACGGATACGAAATTCTTGGTAATTCTTATTCAGGTGTATAAGTCGAATAACGAAATTTAAAAATACCGACTCAAAACATTCGGTGAGCCCATATAGAAAGGCACAATAATATGCTTCCACATTTTAGTCTTTCTTTTTTTGTTCAATTAGAAATGATTTTATTACTTCTTTTTTCCTGGAAAGTAATTCAGTCTGTCTGGTGTGCCATGCGAACAGTATCATATAGTAACGATCTCTCAGTTTTAATTCTAATCTGACATTTACTTTGATTGCTTGAAAAAACTTGGCATTTTTTAGTTTTATGAATTTTGCTCATTCTTCCCAGAGTAATGTGACAATGTATTTGATCCACATCTAATAGTTTGTCTTTTAATCATTATTTAGAAAAGATTCCATCTTATGTTATCATTATTATTTGTCAATGTATGGTCCAGTTTTTTTTCAATCCCGACTAGAAGATGTTTATCGGTATTCCATCTTGAGGTTTTATATTGTTCATACGGAGATTTGACTTTGTTGTAGAAAATTCTACTAGATGATTTTAGGTTTGGTAGCTTGCTTATAAACTGCTTAAATATCAGTACATATGCGTTGAAAGTATAAGATGTTCTTTGATATCTAGCCTAAGTTATTTGCGATTTAATTGCTGAAATTGTCACTCATTTACAGTTGCTTCTTTGGTCATTTGTACCTTCACCAAATCTCACTCTTTTGTTAACTATGGAAGGTTTACATTAACTTGGGAACTTGTAATTCCTTTCATATAATGACTTTATGAATAATTTTAATTTTACTGTATATTTCATTTGCTTATAAATTACATTTATGATAATTTTCGAAACAACAAAGAGTGCGAGTTTCAAGTTTTCGAGTTTCAAGGAGATAATAAATGGTTGTTAGAAATCACAATTTTGTGAGCAACTTTTCTAGCAAACATAGGAATGTATAATCATAAACCGTAAAACTGACAGACACTGTTTGGGAACCTGAATGTATGATATTTCCTACACTTCCCATGAAAGAGTGGTGAAAGATAAGCAGACATAGCCATGTATGTTACTTGGCCTTAATAAGCACTAATTAATTACTTGACCTCAAATAGCATTACGCTGTTACCGTACTTATTCTCGATATTACAACTTCGATATTAACGAAATATTTTGACCTT